TTATCAGATGCCTCATGTTGAAGTAATATACAATCAAGTGCAATTCAGAGAAATTAGTGTGTTTACAGAGTTAACGCCACATATAACAAATTCCAAAACTGCTATTTTAGAATTAAGAAACTCAAAGTACTGTGAGAATTTTCGAAAGATACCGATGGCAGAAGAATAGAAGAAGGAAATATGTGACTTTATACTATATATTGATATAATGCAGATAATATTCTTCTACTTAAACACTTAGCAGCTTCGAAATTGTTAAACAAGAAAATGCTTCGCTAGTTTTATTAAATGAACATTCTACAGAAGGAAATAGTACTGACAGCTGAAGTGTATATCCAATGACTGACAAATAATAGCTTGAAACTGAACAAAGTAAAAATATTCTATTGTAGGTCTGATATCCATGAATACTGCAAATTAAATGAGCTACTGAAATTTATCTTTGAAAATAATCTGGATGATGTTCTTAGTGGAATTACGGAACTGATAAGAATTCTCTTGAGAGTTTCCATGACTACATCAGTGGCAGAACGCTGCTTTTCAACTTTGAAAAGAATGAAAACTGTTCTAAGAAGCACTAGAATTTGGAAAGACTAAATGCGCTTGCATTGCTTTCAATAAAGAAAAATTTCCTCAGTTGTCATCCAGACATCAAGGAGAAAATTATTGATTGTTTCGCGCCAAGTAAAACAAGAAGAACGGATTTCGTTCTTAAATGAATAGGCAAAGAGTGAACTGTAAAAATTTTAGTTAAAGTAATTAAGAAATGCTTATTTTTTTATTGCAAGATTTCCTGATGTTTCAAAATAAATTTTCTTTTTATACATGTTTGTTTCCTTTCAGACAATTTTAAAACAAAGGTTACATTTTTTTGGAACAGCACCCCCACTAATTTTAGCCACGAGCCGCCACTGTACATTACGCATAGTCAAAATTAGAAAATTGCAACGAGAAAACTATTTGATGTGTATCTGTTATATTTATAATGATGAGGAATTTGATTTAAATCATATCAAAGATGGAGTACATCAAGATGATATACTGCATTTAGTAAGGAATTATAAGCCGAATAAAATAAAAACATCTGCGCTTAAAATAAGGATAGTGCTGACAGATCAACTTCCAGTTCATTGCGCGCAGCGTCATTTCCCTCCCCTCGCAGAGCAGCGTGAGATTGATAAACATATTTCGGAATGATTACATAATCAAAGGATATGCCTTTATCCATTTTTTGCAGCAATTCCTTTTTTTGTTTGATTTACATCGAAACATGCTTTCCCTTTGTAGATCCAGCATCAGAAATTCTATTTGACATAATGGAAAGTTCCAACTTACTTTCATAAAATTGCTCTAACAGTCTGCAAAAAATAAGCTGGATCCAATTCGAAGATTAAGGAACAACGCAATCTGCAACATTAACTGAAATAGATAATTTTAGCTTAGCTTATACCGTCCGTTATACATTTCTGCACATGCGTCATCGCATTATGCATTGATGCAGGCGCAGAAAGTTTGTAGCTTTGAGGTCCAGATTATAGTTAATTCCGGATTATGGGTGTCTGGATTAATAACTTTTGACTGTACTTATGTGTACCCTTATACTGGTGCAATAAGTAATAATCTCCTCCTACAAGATGGCAAAACTAAGATTGTAGTTGGCTCACATTAGTGGTGATTATCTTCAGCAGCAAATAATTCAGCACATGAAATGGCCAGCTCGATCACCGGACTTGAATCCTATTGAACATATATGGAATGCTTTAGGAAGGTGTATAGTTGCTCTCAATTCTCCTCTTCAGACCGTCACCATGCTTGCAACTATTTTGCAAGAGTACTGGCTCTCACTTCCTACTGAACCGAAAGACTGCATAATTGACAGCATCATGCATCGCTGTACGTGATACATTGTTTCTAGAGGAGATTATACTCCATACTAAAGATAATTTTCTTAAACGAAACTGACACATCTAATTTGTTCATTTTATATGTATGCTAATTTCTCATAATAATGACTTATATGTATGCTAACAATGATGATTTATTATATGCTAATAATGATTTATATGTATGCTAACACCATCACTGTCTGGTAATTTCATGTTATTTTATACCTTACTATGTGTTGTATACTGTGGATTAGTTTCATTAAATTCTACATGCAACTTTTTGAGTAATTATCATAACCAGTGTATAATAAATCTATGCACCATAACATTTTTCAAAACATTCTATACACAGCAAAATAAGCACTTATTCTCAAAAATTTATTTTTCTGGGCTTTCCAAAAGAAATCTAAATAGTGAAATAGATTCTTCTGATACCTGTAATTGCAGTAAATATTTACTCCTTGTGTACACTAAGGTTTCACGTATGTACAAGCTTAAAGAAGAGGTTTATGCATTTTCTAAATTATAAAAGAATGTTTATTACGAGGAAGGGATTATGTAAGTTCCCAGAGTTGGAGGCATTACAGGTAAACTATTTTATACAAATAAAAAAAAAACTGACAGTCTCTCTTATCGTCTTTTTAAATCTTAACCTTTACAACACTTAGTGACATAAGTATATCATGAAAGAAGTTTTAAACAAAAAGCTACATGACATATGCTATTTTTAATTTTGAGATTCTATTAACTCAATAATTGCTACATTGTGTTTTTTAAATATACACTAAACTGAAAGAGGATCCTTTCCATAATAGGACAACAATATTCTAAACATATCAAATATGTATCATAGGTTAACTATTTCATTATACAATGATATACTTTAAAAACATTTTATTCATACCACTTACTTTAGAAATAAAAACACTATTATACAAAATAAGATAATCAAATTCAATTTAAAAAGTGACAAATAATAAATTATGTGAAAATGATTTTTTTTTTTTTTTTTTACTGTGGCGTCTCCACAAATATTCTCATAAATGAAAACAGTTTTCTCCTTAGAAGTACTAGTTGGTATATATATCTTTCAAGATAAAATTAGTTACTATCTGTTGTCCTAAAACAGAAAAGATCTATAAAATACACCACAAATTCATTTTTACACAGAAAAATTTGGTTTAATCCCAGTATCCGGTGCACAACGGATTTGGCTACTTCATGATGAGCAATAAACGGGACATATAGGATGAGTAGTTAAACGGGTCATTTTGGTGTTGGCGATAATTTTCAAAATCGCACCAGGGCTGCACCGTATACTAGGATTTTACCGAAAAATTCTAGTTCCATTAATTTTGGTTATAGCTAACACTCTGCAAATATTTTAATTTTGAATTGAAGGTGGGCTTAGAATATATATATTTTTTTTTAAACTTTCGTACAAAGAAATCAAATTTTTATTTGTAATACTGTTTGATTTGCATGAAATTCAATGCTGTTTATTCTATTCATATGAAAAAAATCAGCATATATATTATAGAACTGGAACTACTCTGATATGCGCCCTCAAGGTGCCGCTGCCATATTGCTATCTAAATTTTTTGTCTATATTTCAAACTTTAAGCCTAAAATGTCTCCAAAAACACGATTTTTCGCAAATGCAAAACCATGTTTTGAAAACGCAACACAATTTAAGCTAAAAATCCTGAAAGCAAAAAAACAAAAAATTTAGATAACAAAAACCGTGAAGATTTCTAACCAAAAATTTTGACAAGAATCCATGTACACAGCGGATATGTATTAACTTAAAAAAACATCTACGAATGGCAACATCTACCAATTACACAAGCTAGGCAGCGAAAGAATTTACGAACCACGCACACACCTCGCTTTAATAATTAACATAACAACGTTAAATTTCAAAGAATACCATGTACACAGCGTTCCTGTTTCAAATTTAAGAAAACATCTACGAATTGCACAATTTAGGCCGGTTGCACACTATGTCAACAAAAAACTAAACTAAATTTTTACAAACAATTCAAAAAAACAACAATAACGACAGAAATTCATACTAAAAAAACAATGAACGTAACCATTCTACAAAAAAGAACAAGAATAAAATAAATGCACTTACCATTAATGCTTTTTTCGAACAACAGAAAATACCAATTTCATACCGCCTTTAACGTACCCCACGCCACTAATCACCATCGTATTTATATGACAGCCAGACACACTATCCAGAAATTCATACTATGGTTCACAAATAAATAAAATAACAAATAATCACAAATCCCTACTTCTATCACATGCACAGCCACTAAAAATAATCTCCCATACCTTCTTTCCCACACCTCCAAATACCCATTGCCCCTCAACAGGAAGGCTACGATGATATTTCCTTATGCCGAACTTCAATTCAACAATTTTCACCATTACATCTTTCCCCCCTAGCTTATCAGACACAAGGCATGACGGGAACCAACGAACTCCAACGAAAGATTTTTCAACGTCAACAGGGTTGCCATACAACACGCAACCGCGCCAAAAACCAGAGCAGAACACATAACGCAACATTTGGTGAAATTAGGGCGTATATCAGAGTTGTACCATAGTACTTTCTGATTACCTGCATTCCTGTTTCAACATCCAAAATTTTTTTTACATTTTTTAGTAGATTTTCGAGCATATACACAATACTAGCCAACCCAAACAAATGTGGATTTCTATAACTTATAGCATGTTTTATCTGCAAATAGATTTTTTCCCTCACAAATTTTCTTATTTATAACGAAATGCATCGTTTTATTATTATTTAAAAATAGAACAGTAGCTATGAGCCATAAAGTTAACTAAATAAAAGTTTTTCACCAACTTACAATTTGCCAATTAAATAATTACTATTTGCGAGGGTGCAAATATAATACAAGGGAAAAATGTAAAAGTAAGTTTTTCACAATATAATACGTCAAAAGATGTTATGAATCCTATTCCTGCACAGAACTCATTCTAATCTGAAGTCTAGATAATTTTTATATCAGCAACATCAGTTTACTGTGCAGAATGCCTTTGATAGATTTCAATTAAAAATATGATAGCAATATACTGATATTCTATATTTTAATGTTTTTTATTACTTTATGCTTACACAGAATTTTCTAAATATTCTGCAGAAACCCCTAAATTTATTACCTGTGAAAATAAACCAGCATATTTTTCAATGCTTTAAAATTTAACTTTTGCATTTGAATATATTTTTACAATTTATCTGTTGCATTTTCTTAACATAAATGCAAGAAGGTAAGTAAGTGGAAAATTTAGAATTCAACTGTGGACTTTTTCGGAAGGAGACAGTTTATAGTGAACAGAAGTAATTTCACATAAACATCACACAATATTTCTTCCACATATAACTAAGAATGTTGTGCTAATTTATCATTAGGGTTCTCATCAGTATGTAACTAAGAGTGTTCAATTAATTGATCATTAACATTCTTTTGTATAGCTAACTGAGACTGCTCAGGAAGTTTTTCATTATTATTTTCTGTATCTGACTGTAAATGCTCACTAAGATCCTCATTAAAGTTTTCTTCCATATCCAACTGAGGATGCTCATCAAGTACATCATTAAGGTGGTCTGGATGACGTAATTGATAATGCTCAATGAGTTTATTTTTTGATCTTGAATTCCTCCCACACATATTACATAAATATGGTTTCTCTCCTGTATGGATACGTCGATGATAAGTAAGGGAAGATTTATGAATAAATCTGATACCACAAAAATCACAAACATGTTGTTTGTCTCCAGTGTGAATCTTATAGTGATCTGTGAGAACACCTTTACGACTGAATCGCTTGTTACAAATATTACATTCGTATGCCTTTTCATTCGTATGTGTCATTTGATGAGCAATCAGCGTGCTTTTTCTTCCAAAAAACTTATTGCAGATATTACACAGAAATGGCTTTTGCTTTGTATGAGTCATATAATGTATTTTGAGGGCATCTTTTCTTGCAAAAGCTTTGTTACAAATATCACATGAAAAAGGTCTATCATCTACATGGGTTAAACAATGTTCCTTGAGAGTGTGCTTCCTTTTGAAAGATTTACCACAAATTTCACAAACAAAAGGTTTTCCTGAAGTGTGAGTGATGCAATGTCTTGAAAGTGTTCTTTTTGTTTTAAAATGTTTATTGCATAAACTGCAGACATAAGGTTTTTCTCCAGTGTGTACTAAAGCATGATTAACTAATTGTGTTTTTTTGTAGAAACTTTGACCACATGTTTCACAAATATGTGGCCTTTTCCCTGCATGAACCAAGTAATGAGCTGTTAAATCACTTTCTTTATTAAATTTTGCACTACAAAGATGGCATGAAAGAGGCTCTACATTCGTATGAGCAAAATAATGCAATTTTAGACAACGCCTGTTTCTAAATGATTTGGTACAAATATCACACACATATGGTTTTTCCCCAGTATGAATACGATGATGAACTGATAGTGAACTTTTACAAGTGAAACCCTTTCCACAGAAGGAACATACGTAAGGTTTTTCTCCTTTGTGCGTACGAAGATGCAAATCGAGACTTGCTTTCCTTTTGAACTTTTTATCACATAAATTGCATTCATAAGGTGTCTCTGCAGAATGAATGTTAAGATAATGATTGTAAAGCATACTATTTTCTCTAAAACTTCTTCCACAAATGTTACATGAATAAGGTTTTTCTCCAGTATGTATATGCAAATGTTGAGTGAAGCTATTTCTCAACCTGAACATTTTGCCACAAACATCACATACAAGAGGGTTTTCTGCAGTGTTTTTATGAGAAGCAACTTTATTGTGAGGTTTTCCAATAACATTATTCTTATGAGAACCTACATTATTATCAGGCATTTCTGTGTTGCTACTCAAATCAGTACCTGTGTTATCATGAGAATGTTCTACATCATCAGTCAGTTGACAATATAAATAATCATTAGGTTTATTCATATGATTTGTAGCAGAACGTATGTTATCGGTTTGTTCTAATTCCATATAACTCTTCTGAGAACCTGAGTCATCCTGCAGCTTATCCATACAATTCATATCATTGTCATTTTGCTGCAGCTCCATCTTAGAAAAATTTTTATGTTTATCAAATATTGAATAGATGTGTTTAATTACGCATATGTTTTTAATGCTCTAGCCATGTCATCAGCAGAAAAGATATTTTAACTGCAGAGTTCCATTGCATAATACAAAATAAAATTTTTCTATTAGAAGAGATGAAATCAGAACAAAAGTCCTTTTTTTTCATTAACATTTCCTAACTCTCCTTTAAGTCAGTTGACAGACGCTGCAACAAGAAGGGAGAATAGTTCATGTTATTAACATTCATCATCAATCATGCACTGAAAACTGTTATTAATATTATGATATTACTTTCATTTTAGCATATGTTCTAGATTTTCTACAAATTTCTTTTCATATAAAAAAATTAACATTATCGACCGGCAGGAAATCATTTCAAGACACACATTCATGTAATTTACAAGCCCTTTCGTTTAGCCAAAAACAGGAAACCGAAACAACACCGTTTTTCTTCTCTTGTTGCCACATTCACCATTCGCAATACAATTTATTGCAACATTTATTGTAGCAAAATACAAGGAGGTTAGAATGCAGCCAATATTACGGATAGTGAAAGATATACTGTAGTGAAATACATCTTTGACTAGCCGTAATTTTAAGCTTCCTTCCTAGTTATGTTGTACGCGCGTTTTCATCGCTCTCATGTTTTTGAGCTGGTTAAACTCTGGTGTTTTCTGCTGTGTTACATCGCTTATGTGTTTATGGGGATTTAACTTGCCGTGTGCTTTCTTTCATAATAGAGGAAAAGGATTTTACCCCATTAAATTCTAAGGAAATTAAGGCAGTGAATCGACGCCACATGTTAAGCTTACCTGAGGATATACTAGGTGAGGTGTTCCAAGGCCTTTTGTCCCTTAAGGTATCCGACCTCGTTCGGGTACCATTTTTTTTAAAAATGGTTTTTGTTTTAACTATAAACATATTAATTTGAAGATAAGTATATTAATGAGTGAAACGTAATGATGAGTAATTTTAGTTTTGAAAAATAATGAAAAAAAGGATAATTTTTGCTCAAATTTTGCCTTTACGGCAACAACCACAGTGAACATGTATATATAAATATGCAGTTTTTTTTAATTTGTATTTATGTTTACACTTGTTTTGTATGCAATGAAGCAAAATAATTAAGAAATATTCATATATTCTTAAAATATGTCAAAATGTATAGTATTTACTGTAAATTTTCCTATTGCATCCAAAATCTAAAAATAAAAAGTAACAATTCAACTATAATTAATAATTTCTAAAATCTCCGCTTCGGAGCATGCATCAATTATATAAATAGGTATAGAAAGTATCATTTAATTTTATCGATAAAATTTTGAGTTATAGCTGTTACCATTGGCAATATTTACAGAAAACACATTTTTCAGAAAACAAGTTTAAAGTTTTCATAAAACAATTTCTTAGTGAAAGAAGCACCCCTTATAATTAAAATTGCCCTGCTTTGTAACTGAAACCTTGTTTTTTCTTCACACACTTTGCACTTTTTCTTTCGAACAAAGCGTAATTTTTTCTTTGGGTTTTTGTAAAACTTGTGAAATGCTGCGAAGAGTCATGATTTTTCAGTTCTCGAATTCCCTGCTCAGTGTAAAATTCAGGATACATCCTAACCTTGAAATGTTTCAAGCAAACCTATAAATCCATCATTAAATAACATAAAATAACACAGCACTTATATTTGCTCCAAAGATTAATGTTCGCAAGCTTATGAAAGTTTCTTTCGGAACACTTTGCAATAAAATGCCATTAAAACGCTCCTTGATATTTTGAGTTTTGCCATGTATGCACATTTTTAATAACTCTTGTTTATGTAGTCAACTCCATATAAGTAGGTTTAATTAAATTCAAAGTATATGTTGATATACCAGAGGCTTTTGCCTGATTTTTTTTTTCCCTGATTTCTGCAATCGCACATTCATAGTTGTACCAACTCATTGATTGAGGAAGGCATTGGCTTCAAGAAGATACAATGGAACAAGCAGCTAGTACAAACGCTGCATCTCAATTAAGTTTCCAACATTACTTAATTGCAATCCCTCATTCTGCAGTTTCAATAAAAGATCAGTCAGTTATTTTTCCTTTCAATTCAGGAACGGAGTTGTTACTTTTCGTAGCTACTACCCCTTTTCTTACATGTCCCAGCTTCCAGTTTCTTGACCGAATCTTTACCATATATATCTTTCACATTAAACCCCTAGAATCCCTATCCTCGTAATCTCCGTGTACTTCAGCTGTCGTAATGTAATAGATCTTCAAACAGCGGAAAAGCACAACTGCTTCCGTAAACGAAGCTGGTTCTTTGTAATGCGACAATTATGTTACGCTTTATATGTCGTGCTGAAGATTGCATTCCATTCTGTTTATTTTGTTGCAAATGATGCAAATGTGACATAGCTTTCAAATCAAGCACTTTGTCAACGGTAATCGAAAAAGTAGCAACACATCCATCAACATCGATACCTTTGCGGCCAAACTAAATACGAAATTAAGGAAAAAAAACTATCGCCCGATTCTTAAAATGTATTACAAAATATCTAAACTTAGACGAGGTTTATAATTATAAAATCTTGATGCTAAAAGTCTAAATAGGTATATCTATTTAACGCTCACTCCGGCCTAGAATATTGGAACTTCCGGTATATTCCGTTACAGAAAATGCTTATAACTTCAGTTATAATAACCTATCAAGAAGCAAAAACTTGTATTTGATAGCTAAAGATGTATTCTTTAAGATAATGTAATAAAGTAAAAATCGAAATTTTGACCGAAAATCGTGTTTTGTACGAGTTGAAGCATATTTAAGAATATCTGTCAGACGGTGGGCACCATTTCAAGGCCAAATAGATGTCTAGTTGTTTTCTTTTAACAATTTACTTTGAAGCTTTCAAATGAGAAATGAGAGAGCTCTCATAAAGAATCTTGTTGAAAATTAACATTTTTATTGTGATCGATGAGCATAGGGTTGAGGACCCCTGTACTAGATTATGGAAACATTAAGTTAGATGAAAATTGGCCGGATCTGATTATGAAAGAGGTTTATACATTCAACGATTTTATTAGTGCTATGCATGAGTGAGTGTGGTATAATATTTAATATTGTTGGCAGCACTAAAATTATACTACATTGAATGGCAACAATCATTGTTAGTTTAAATATTGTTCTTACGATGCAACAATTCTTTTATGTGCAATTTCAGTCGATTAAAGCTTAGTTGAGTTTCTCTTATTTATAACAATTTAACGACTAAAATTAATTTTACTTATTCTTTTTGCAAAATGGAAAACCTATTGAACCAAAAGATTTGATGGACCCCGCCTGTGTTGGAGCGGAATCTAAATGGAAACCTGGAAAAGACTTTTTCAAATTTTCTCACACATGTGAAGGAGGCAACTGAAGAAAGAAACTACAGCTATAAGCAATTTCGTATCTGGGTGAAGTGCTTTAGTCCATGCTTGGCGATTTTCAGTAGTGGCGATTTTTGAAAAAGCAGTAAAATCTCAGATACGTTGCATAAACAAAGTTGCGAAGGCGGGGCTAAGTGTCGTCCATAAATGGGTGGGACTAAGCTTGTGACGTCAGAATGTATTCTCTATAGATATAGAAATAAGTATAATAACAGATTTATATTTCAAATTATTATCAAGTGAAATTGTATCAATTATTAAAACGGTAAACAACATCGCAGTCTCTCATACTTGTATTCATACAGCTTCCTTATTTTTAATGATTATAAATAAAAAAGATTTTTATTATTAAAATTTATTGCGGCAATTATATTACAATGTTGAAAATTCTGCATGTCTTAAAAAAATAGTATACGCCAATTGGGTAAATCTATTAATATAAGGGCTAATAATTTCAAGACTTAAATCCCTTTGATGATTTTTTTTATGCTGGATTATATTCCGGATAGCTACAGAAAAACTAACTTATCTTTTGTGAATATTCAACGTTAAATAAATCATACACATGATTTTCATTTCATTTTTTGTTTTATATTGCATAATATATTACATTTTTAGTTTAAAAGGATAATCATTTAAAAACAATATCTATTATAGCCGATTCAAAAATACCAAAATCGATTTCAAGTTCTAAAAAAAAATGAGTTCTACGATTTTCTTCTGGTTTCTCTCTGTGGCCAATCTCAACAATAACTATTTCCCTTCTTTTTTTTTTTTTTTTTTTTTAGGAAGTGCCAACAAATTTAAATTCATAATATCGAACAGTTTCATTTTATCATTTTACAAATAATTGTTGCCTACTAACGACACAATTCTAGGTATAGTATTAGACACTTCATATTTTCTAAAAATTAAACTTTACATTAATAAAAAATAATCATTTTTATTGCAGATACATACACCAGCTTTCATATCCTATTTCTTAAATTCTTAATCACGTCATATCTATATCATACTAGAATTCTATAATTCTACAAATAAAAAAAATCTAATTTCTCACAATGAAGAAAATTAACACTACAAATTGAACCTAAGCAAGTTCACAACACACACACATATGTCAAAGAACTCATATTATCAAGTGCCATTGCGGTAGAAATCTACGTATTAAAATAAAAAAGTAAGTTATTATCACGCACAATTTTGCTACTATTAGATCGGCGGATTATCGCTACTTTCGGAAAAGCTTATAACAATCAACAACAAACAATACAATACAAGAAAAAAGAGTTAAAATAACATATAAAACAAAAAACAAACATTAACCAATACGTACATTGTAAGGATCTTAAGTTTTACTAACGTTTATTTTCTACTTCCGCACTTCTTATTTTCTACTTCCGGGCAGAATTATAAGCGTGAAGGAGTTTATGCAAATTGTCTGGCGAACGCAAGTACTTAAGTGTGGCTTTTGCCGCGAGAGAGAGGAGGAGTGGTCGAAGCGGGCGCTTACCCTAGAGTTAACCGTTGATTGCCTTCTGGCCAGAGGCTCAATCCTCTTGATATTTAAACGTGTTGTAGTGTTACAGTCTCTGTACTACATACGCTCCTGTATATAAGGCCAATCTTATTATAAGTCAAGTTCGAGTTGAGTTTAGTTGATATTCTAGTTAGACCCCAGTAGGGTCTTGTTCCGAGTAAGGAAATATTGTAAAGAGAAAAAATAAAGGGTTTTGTATACCTTGTGTATCTGTCTTTCAAGTTATGCACCTGCTTAGTAAGATCCTGTTCTAGTCAGGTATTGTATGTTTCGACGAAGGTTAGGAAACATGACCTGACATTACGCTCGGTAGACTACAGCCTCGCTTTGTCATGTGCACAACGATCTGTATTCGCTCGAAAAACTTGGTGTCGATGTACACATCCATCTACTTTCACTAAAAAAATTCAGAGAATTGCACAAACTTGGCATTGCGCACTGCCTTGGCTTTTCCCATGTGCACATCGATCTATTTTCACTTAAAAAACCTCAGAGAATTGCACAAACTCGGCATCGCGCAC